GTGGCATTCTTGACGCGGCTATGACTTGCTTTTTGACGTTCGTGGGTAACCGACAAAGCTGCGACACCGTCGCCACTCCGGGCTTCGCTCTCGGCGCCTCGCTCGTAGCTTCGGGTATGGTTTTGACTTTCCGTCGATTAACAGCCGCGGTCCAATCAGGAGATTGAAGTTCCTCGGGAGAAACATCCTCTCCGTCTCCCGCAACTTGCATAGACATGGCGCAAGCGGTTACACGACGGCGAACAGCGGGAACGCACCGTGCGCTCCGCAGCTGTCGCGAATACCTGCGCTCAGTTGGCGCGAACGCCCAGGCTTAGCTCGGTGCCTGCTCGACGCTGGCAGAGTCGTCCCAAAATGATGAAAAAGGGCGCCTACATCAAAAACTGGTTGCCACGGGCTCTTGGTGCTCAGGCGGATACGATGATCGTGAAAGCTCAATGGTTGGTGTCCAAAAACGCTGCAGAACACTGAAAACGACGGAGACAATAGGAACGCGTCCGCACACCTCGGCGACCGCAGCCCCTCTTTCTTACAAAGATGGCGAAAATAATTCTGTCGCTGCAAAGCACGAGTCAAAATTTTTCATGACGCTGGATTTACCAAGGAGGAGGAGAAAGCAACAAAAGGGAAAAGGCAGGGAGGTTAACCAGAAAGACATCCGGTTGGCTACCCTACACTGGGGGATTAGGAAAGGGGACAAGAAAGACGAGAAAGAGGGAAGAGAGGGAAAAGAAAAAAGGCGGGGGAGAGACTGACAGTAATTTCACTGCAGCGTGTAGAACTCTACCACATGTCAGAGGCGTTCACACAAGCCTGTCTTTTTTAGGAAACACAGCAGGGCTTTCACTGCCTTGTGGGCTGTCGAGGCATGTTGACGTTGCTGCAATAGCACCTGCACAGAAAGAGGCTGATCATCCAGTCGCCGCATTGCGTTGGCAAGTGCTTGTCTCTCTGAGGCAAATCGAGGACAATGGCACAGCAAGTGTTTGATATTTTCGTTGGTGCCGCAAACATCGCACGCCACACTGTCAGTAATTCTGATTAACGTAGTATAAGGTTTCGTGAAAGCAACTTCCAGCCAAAGGCAATAGAAAAGCGAAGCTGCACGTCGATGTAGGCCGGGTGGAGGCCGGAGTTGTAGTGAAGGGTCGAGCTCGTGCAGTTTTGTACGTCGTGTGCTCGGTGTGTTCCACTCAGTCAGTGTGAGACTGCGGGCCAGTTGACGAATCTGCCTCGCCGCATCCGCTCTTGAAAGCGGAATCGGAACAGTGTTCGCTTCTTTATGTGACGTGCGAGCAGCATGATCTGCAGAATCATTGCCGCCTATACCACAATGCCCCGGTAACCACTGATAGACGACGTCTTGGCCTTTTTGTATTAAAAGGTGGTGAAGTTTCACGGTTTGGTAGGTCGACTGGTCGTGGCATCCGCGTCGGAGAACTGATATCAGGCACTGTAACGCTGGTTTTGAGTCCGAAAACCCAGCCCAGTTACCTGGTCTTTCTTCTGAATTGATGAGTTCCAGTGCATTCCGCAGAGCCTCGAGTTGCGCCGTCCCAAAGTATTCAATAAGTGTATGGTGGTCATTCAAGTGCAGTAAGGAACTGTGAATCACGAGCGTGAAGACTTGCTATTGGACAGTTTAGGCTATTTAACTCATACGTGGTTGGCGTATGTTACTTTAACGACGGTAACTTGCACTAACAAAAATTAAAAATAGATGTAAATAAATTCACCATATTCCACTTTACAGCCACTGAGTTCTGGTGAGCCATGTTTTGTGTATACCGATGGGATGCCAAGAAAAAAATATTTTGTAGTATTGCGGTTATAGTATCTACAAATAAACAAGAAAGAAAAACATCTGCCGGCAAGAAAAATTCAGAGATAAAAGAGTTAATAAGTTGTAGCACGCCAAAACTCACAGTATGCTTATATAATATGGAATTCACTTAGTCAAACGCTAGTTCATGAGCTAAATTAGATACACTGAATGACAGCCAGACTTTTTGTGGACGCGCCTGAAATTCTTTACCCTAGGCTAAAGAATTTCTGTATTCTTGTTTCTTTTCTCTCTAATCCGTCCAAATAATGGCAGGACCAAGTTAAATATTGGTACATTTGGCGATTGTGAATCAGCTGAAGTTCTAGTGGCATTTTTTATTTGATTATACAGCGTATTGTGTAGCTTGCTTTCTCACGCCCAAGCCAGCCCATTAGTGCTCACAGTATTTTAATTCAATCAATAAATAAAAAAAACCAAGAAAGAAGATACCCAAACCTAAACATACTGAGAACTAACTACTCGCAATAGCTTAGCATCTGGAGCAATAACTGTGTATCAATGAAAAAGCATGGCAGGCCTGTGCGGAAGGTGCACCACAGTCACAGTGAAAGCTAGAAGAGCGGTATTTGCTTGCTTGCTTACTTGCTTGGTCCTTTCTTTTGTAGCTCTCAGCCACTAAGGGGGATTGGCCAAGAAGCCGGTGGGTAATGCAAGTCAATACATTTAGGTTATCCAGGCTAGGAAAATAGGATTACTTTGTTTTGACTGTGTGGGATTTATTTGGCACAATGCAAAAAAGGAAAAGGAAGAAAAATAATATATTTCGTTGAATACATGAGGTGTAATCGTTATATGAAATTCTTCTGAAGTTTAAATCATTACAGAGTAATAGTTAAATAATAAATGTTAGATTGGCTGGTAAAATCCAAGAGCTGATCAAGGGTTCAGCAAAGTCATAGGAATTCGCATGGGGGCCCCGCAGATGTTCCCGTCGCTGTGTCTTAATGAAGCAGCCCCAAGAGACAATATATTAGGAGTAGTAGGTGATATTACTAGTTTTTTAAAGAAAGTTTCGAAACAATTTTTTTAAACATTAAATTGTGAGAAGAAAATGGTCGATATATTCGGGTTCATTACAGCTTGAGCACAGAGGGGGTGGCACCAGACCAGACCTGTTTAGGTGGAAATCAAAAGTTGGTACAGGGCAACTTAATTTTGTTATATAGCCTTCCAATTTTCGCGTGGGAAATCATTTATTATTCCATGCGAAATACAGGGCGAGAAATCTGGATCTGGTATCGTAATTTTTATGAGTCTTCAAGAAGGGAAAGTTTTCTGAACCTCTCTGCTGTTACAGAAGCTGTAAGAGGCATGATTGGCACAATCGGAAGATCAAGGGATGCTCGCGCGAGTGAGTCAGCCATGTCACTTCTAAGTATACTGCGATGGACTGGCACCCATATCATTCACACTAGACGAATGTTTTCTGGAATTAATTATTTTAAAATTTCTAGTACTGCTGAGGCCGACGACGATGATAAAAATGAACGCACGTAATGCGAGTCGGTCACTATCACAACTGTCGAATGAGTCGCAGGAAGTTTACAAAGAGCTTGTATAACGACCGACCAGCCTTTGAAAACCTTTTCAAAACACTCATTGGTAAACTGGTGCAAGCACATATGCTTGATACCCAGTACGCATTAATAATAAACGTTTTAGCTTAGTACGCCGGCTATCGCTATGCAACTTTTCGCCATTTTTCTGAGAAGCGTGGTATCCGCTAAACACTTGCAAGGAGTTTTGTGCCAATTGCTCATGCAGTGGCTGACGATGATGACGAATCATGCTTGAAGTGGGTATGCGCCACAGGTAATTGGTGAACAAGAACAAGATTTTAATGAGTTAGAGCATTGGACGACCTTATCTTTACGCTATTCGCATCGTGCGAAGACTGGTTGTTCTTTACCTTTTTTAATGCTTTATAGCTCGTATTAGCGCAATTGCTTTCGCGACATCAACTCTGCCTGAGGTAAGTCTTCCAACAAGTCCCAATCACCGGCACGGCTTAGTTGTCGAAAACAGATGGTGAAGAAGAATCCATCTATTTTCGAGGACTGATGCTGCAATGAAAATTCGAAAAATCGCTAATGTGTAAGTAAAATCCCAATGGAACGCTGAGTGCAAATGTGACTGCATAAGCTGGACCTGTCTCGTCGACTTCGGCCTCCGTCCAGACTATCTCGTCTTGAGACAACGGTGCTTTGCCAACTGTGGCTTGGTGTTGCTTTCACCAAAGCTTTCGACTTCCGAAGCAGCATGGAGGACAGTGCTGCTTGCGACCATTGCGGCAGCGATCAAATGATAGAGCATGTTCTCTGTCACTGCCCTCGTTACAGCTTGCAAAGACGGCAGCTAGCTACTGCGTTAGCTCGTCTTGACTAGAGACTCTTGTCAGAACAGTCAGTGCTTGAAAAGCGATATAATCTGTCTTCGCACAAAAAATCAGTGAACACCTTATTGAATTTTTTGCGTGGTAGTGGCTATCAAATAGCCTATAGCCCCCTAGCTGACTATTTTTTTCTCTTCCGCGCGTCTTTTTCACACTTCGCTTTCTTTTCTATCTTTATTCCGCATTCTTCCTTTCATCAGTGCTGGGTAGCAAATCGGAAGCTTGACCTCCTGGTTAACCTCCCTGCTTTTCTCTCATTTCAATCTCTCTCTCTACTGGGCTGGCAGCCAGCAGACCCGGATTTGAGCCCCGCTGTGTCATTGGTACTATCTTTTTTTTATTTTATGTGACAGTGGTTGCAGATGGTGGTGGCGGCGGCGGACGACTACGGCGCTGCGCGAGACCCGATTGGTGATTCCATAACAGCTTTCGCTGTGAAAACTAGGAGCAACCTAGGTCGAACACGAGCTCCACTGTTGGTTGCAGCATTGTTCCACTACTGCAAGCTGCGCTTTTTTTCTACGTTAGTTTAGATATGTTGTGACCTAAAAAGTAGGTCATGTTTTTTATTTGGCCTTTTTTCCAACCCCTCTGAAAATATGCAAAGCCTTGGAGGTAAATTCACATTTGTTTTTTTAAACCTCCGCCCTTCATTTTTTTTATAAGGAAAACTTACAAACAAGATATTTTGTGAACACGCTACTTCCAAAAATCAATAGGAGAATGTCACCGTCGATTAAAAAACTAAGACGGCGATCTCACCATTGTCCACTAAGAGCTTTGTAGTGTCGATAGATGTTCCCTTGGTGAAACGCAGCGTGGCATTTTTCCTGGAAGCACAAGCAAACACACACAATGCATATTGGTGATTTGCAACTTTCATCACCTATATAATGTCACCATCATTGGGGTTCAATATATGTTGTAGCAGTTCAGTAAACAACCTGGCTGACACTGCACCGCTCCTAGTGTTTCTCTGTTGTTACATAAATTTAGAGAGTGCGATTAGAGTCCTGAAATACCTTTACAGGTAATGAAGCTCCACTGTAACTTTAATTGAGAGCTTTGTGCGCTGCAAGTGGGGGCCGCCGGGCGACGCTGCCTTGTTGCTGCGGGTCGCAGTGAGCCTCATGCACACGGCAGCAGACGCTCGTCGCTCACTGCCAAATATCCTGGCATGTCGCCGGGCACTTGTAAATGTATATCTGGTATTGTGGCTAGTGTGCTGCACTTGTAGATCAGAAAACACGCCGCGTTCGTTCTTTCTAACTTCGTGTCGATCAGGCTGCAAGGATAGTGACAAAACGTGTCTACGTTCTGACAGTGAACAGCGGGAAAAGTGGAAGACCGTTATAGCACCCATAGGCGTATCAGCCGGGAGTGGGGGGCTCCCCCCACTAAGAAATGTTGGGGGGCCTAGGCCCCCCCTTCAATTTTGACTGTGGTCACTGTCGGCTGCACGCTGGTAAAACAAACAACCATGGCAAAGTTTTTTTTTTCACCACAGTAATTACTCCGTGGTAAAAATAGTAACTAGTTTTCTAAATTTCTGCTGCGACGATTGCCCTTTAAAGTTCCTTGCGGTGTGGGCCGCCCATGCGACTTTTTTGCGCCTCAAACTGCAGCATTGCAAAGCGGGTCACGTACAAGGCGCGAAAGCGTTTTGTACTTGCTTTGTTATGGGTGGAAACTAACAATCGTTTTATAGATCAGTCAGAGCATTCAGAAAAATTGTTTGCATTCATCAGAAATGAATAGCGTCATCGCTGCTTTATCGGAGCTGCTGTGAGCCTATGATTGTGAGCAATATCTTTAAATGCTTAATATCCGCCACACTAGAAGCGTCACAAAAGGTTTGTGCTATAGTCTCTGATAAATCTAATCAGCCTTGCTTACGGCGACTAGGAGCGATGGCAGGAGTTTTCAAAGTGGCGACGAATAAAGCATTGCCCTCGAGTACTGCGGGATTCTCAGTTTGCTAGCTGACCGCGCAGTTTGACCCACCAGACGGGGAGAATGTAAAAGACTACTTTTTTTTCGCGTTGAAGTCTTATTTGTGAGTAGGACTGGTTAGTTTGTATTCAACTAACTCGTTAGCCCGTTGGCACGTGTACAAATCTGTCCTTTCCGAATACAGAGCAGCTATCAAGGAAGCCAAGCGCGTTTTTCTTAATAATACCCTTTCCTCAATTTTTGTAACAACCCCTTCTAAGTTTTGGAAAACTGTTAAACCTAGGGAAAAGAAAAACATTTCGCTTACGAACTCAGACGGGCAGCCAGTTCGCTGTGAAGAGTGTTGCATTGCATTAATGATTTTTTTGTTACTTCTTTTTCAAGTTGTTCTGCTTCTGCGTTGCCGCAAATGCCCTAGTCGTGATTTTTTACCCATGTATCCTGTTACCGTTGATGCCGTTGGAGTGCAAATTTAATTCACAAGCTTAAGTATCCTCTTCTTGTGGCGTAGATGAAATCAACTCAAAGTTTCTAAAAAAACACTGCATTGTATTCATCAATTTACTTGTCCTTAATCTTTTCGCACTCTATTCAGACTTCCACTTTGCCGCTTGACTGGAAGGTGGGGAAGGTGGTCCCTCTGCACAAATCTGGTAACACACAGTCTCCTCTCAATTACAGACCAATTTCCCTAACCAGTGTTCCTTGTAAAATGTTAGAACATATAATTTACTCCAACCTTGTCTCATTCCTAGAATCAAATTCTTTTTTACTCCCTACCAGCACGGATTCCGAAAAAGTTACTCATGTGAAACCCAACTTCTTATTTTACTAATGACATAGCATCGGCTTTAGATCGCGGCTCACTTGTGCATTGCATTTTTCTTGACTTTCAAAAAGCTTTCGATGAAGTACCTCACCAATTACTCCTCCTGAAAATTAGTGCTTCAAACATTGATCCGAACATTCTTAATGGATTGAATGCTTTCTGACTAATCGCACTCAGTTTGTAACAACTAATGGCAACAACTCACCTCTTTCTAAAGTAACATCCGGCGTACCCCAAGGTTCCGTATTAGGCCCTTTACTCTTTCTTATATATATCAATGATCTCCCAGACAGCATTTAACTCCTCATAAGGTATTTGCAGATGATTGTGTAATTTACCCGCGAAATAAACAATGAATATGATAACCAATTTCTACAGTCAGACCTTGACACTGTCCTCAACCTGGTGCAATAAAGGCTTATGACTCTCAACTCTAACAAATCTTAAATGCATGTCAATAACCGGGCGATCCATTCTCCCCCCTGTACCTACAGAATTAACGCCGTTCCCCTCCAGCATGTCTCTCATATAAGTACCTCGGCGTTTACATTACACAATCTATCTTGGCACACGCAGTTACCTACATCGTAATCAACGCTACCGAACGCTAGGATACTTACGCCGCAACTTCCTCGCGCTCCGCTGTCCCTCAAAATTCTATTATACCGATCACTAATTCGCCCAAAAGCTTGAGTACGCGTCCGCTATATGGGATCCCGTGCAGCAAAATTTAATTAACGCGTTAGAATCTGTTCAGACGCGCTCAGTTCGGTTCATTTGTTCTAATTATTCCCGTACTGCTAGCATATCAGAAATGAATCTAACCTTGACCTACCCAATTTAACTGGCCGGAGGAAACTGGCGCGACTGCATTTTTTTCCTAAGATATTTTTTCACAATCCATCAATGAAGCGAGACCTCATTTCACAACCGTCACACCACTCATCGCGCATTGATCATCAGCATAAGGTTGCCATTCCGTTTTGCCGCACCAAATTCTTTTCAGCAGCCTTCTTACCGAAAACAGCCGCCGATTGGAACCACCTTCCCTCTTCCGTTGTACCAATAACAGACCTTTGTTATTCAAGACTGCAATTTCTCAGCAATGCTTGTAACTATACGCAGTTTCCATTATCTATCTTTGTCTTGTATGTGCTTGAATTCTTATACATTTTTAGTTGACTTCTGTTGCCTTCCTTGTTTGCGCATCTGATACTTGTTTCTTTATTTTGTCTTTTTTTCTTGTGTGTTATATATGTTGTACCCACCCCCTCTGTAATGCCCTACGGGCCCTGAGGTTATTCTAATAAATAAATAAATAAATAAACTAGAACTGCCTTTTACAGCTATAAATACAACTACTACAAAAAAGCAGCACACCCGCGCAGTGCTGTTTAATTTTCTTTCTCTCAGCAAGCATGAGCTGACAGAGATGTGAACGCGCATACGAACTCTAAAACGTTTTCCAGCGTAGCTGATCAGTTACCACGAAAAAAGGTCTTTGCTCCTCCAAAAGATGAAATTTGCGCAAAAGTATGCACATGGCGCCGCAAGGAGGGACAGTTTTTTCCTTGTCGAGTAAAGCACCTGTTCTCTGAGGTAACTGCAGGGATGTTCGCCTCATGTGAAAATGACTCATCGGTGCCTATACAAGCCTGTTTCATTCCAGACGGTTTGGTAGCGTAGTGTGGTGTGGTGGTTAGTTTATTAATGATATTTGGGGTTCAACATCCTAAAACCACCATATAAACTATGAGAGACGCGTTAGTAGAAAGCTCCAGAAAGTTCAACCACCTGCGGTCTTTTTAAACGTTACCCGAATCTCATCACCCGAGCCTACAGCATTGTCAGGTCCGTTGAAAAGCTCCATGAAAAAGCACCACACACACGCACACACAAACACAAACACACACACACACACCACACACATACCACACGCACACACCACACACACACACACCACACACACACACACACACACACACACACACACACATATATATATATATATATATATATATATATATATACCTCACCCCCAATAATTCATGCCGATCTTGTTTAGAATCACGAGGTCTTGTATGTAAGAAACGCGAGAAACACACAAAGCAACCATCACATAATCCAAGTTTCGATTAAATACGAGGAAACCTAACATGCGATTCCTCTAATGTGGTAACCTACTCAAATGCAACATGTGTAGTATGCAGTACATCGGACAAACAGTAACACTATTTCGGATTTGCTTCAATAATCACCAGAGCCCATGCGAAATCAGCCCAAAGTCTACCACTTTCAAAAACATCTTATCTTCCTGACCATGCATTCGACCAAACTATCAGTAACGCTCTTAGAGACGGGATTTAATTAAACCGAAAACGTGAACAACGAGAGTCATACGTTATCCACCGATTTAACACCGGCGATAGAGGAATAAATGAGAATCACTGGTACACTTGCAGCAATTAAAGCATTAGAAAACCATAACGGCAAGACGAGAACAAGATAGAAACGGCGGCTGTTTGAGAATTTATCCGTGCACCACAAGCAAGCTGGTGCGCCTATCGAATTTTCATCACGTCATTGGGCTGGCGCCCACATGAAAGCACGATATTTCGTTACCTTGAGTACTGCGCGAATAAGCCTGTTTTTCTTTCTCTAGTTGTTTTTAAATGCGAAGCATTTTTAAGCGAACTTCATCAACTTGAGCGTATCTATCTATCTATCTATGCTATCTATCTATCTATTATCTATCATCTATCTATCTATCTATCTACCTATCTAGCCACTTATGAACTTCTATATCTTTAGATGCATAACAACGACATAGGGAAGTGTCGCGCACGATCAATACACTTCATCATGACCAGCCACGCATGCGTGCCAATGTTTGTTTCTTCACGTAACGCCGGCGATTCTACGCCAGACGCCGCTAGGCCTGCCTAATACTAGCAGGCACGCGCCGCACTGCGTTGCTTTCACGCACGCGCGTTCGACCGCGCACGGCGTCTGTCAGTCACAAAGAGAGGCAGACGCAGTGCTGTCTGG